TAAGGTTGCACATTCATCACCGCATAGGGAGGCGCTGCCACGGCATAAGCAGCATCTTGAAGGGGATAATAGTGTGGTGGGATGATAGGAGGCACATATGATTGGCTGAATGACATCCGAGCCCCCCTCGAGCTTGAAACCATCATGGCTCCCTCTTCACTCCCATTCTGTTCATCAAACCCTCTGAATCATTCTAAGCAGACTGTGATGTGGCCATAAAAGCAGCATGACTCAAGATTCGACCTGTTTTAAACCATTTTCAACCATTTTTCCCAATTTTGATAGCCTCAGCGAATGGCTTACCCACAACAGACATCATGTTTTGGAAGTAGTCAGCCTCTTGCGCCTGCAGAAAGACTGTGACCATTTCAATTTCGTCCATTAGTGGCTTTACCCTGGCAGCTTGCTCACGCCATTGCTCCCGACAGAAGCTCTTTGTCCAATTTGAAAAAGAAAACCGTAGAAAGCTTTCGCGAATATGCGGTCAAATGTCCACATTATATTGAAACTGGCGGACAAAATCTCGAGCCATATCGTCCCACACATGCCAATGGGTAATTTCTTGATCCGTATACCACTCAGACGTAATTTCGGAGAGTCTTTCCCCAAAATAGGCCATTAGCAGTTCCTCTTTTCTACAAGCATCCCTCAACTGGTTACAATATCGTTTCAGATGAGCGACCGAGTCTCCGTGCCCGTCGTACTTTTAAAAGTTTGGCATCTTGAATCCAGTTGGCAAGTGGACATAGGGAAACATACAGAGGTCAGAGTATGAGACACTCTTTTGGCCACTCAGATCTTGTATTTTTTTCAGGCTTTGTTCCAGGCTCTTCATATTCCGAGCCATTTCCTCTTGCTTGAGATTTTTAACAACTTTTTCTTGCTCCCCCGAAAGATCATATTGCGGAGGTTGAGTGAAAGAGTACGGGGTCACATGTGTTATTTCTGATTGAAGTTGTGAACCCTGAAATGTGAACATTGGAGGCTCAATATACAGCCGTGGTAAAGTTGGTTGTGCTCTGATGCAGACTGGTGCTGCAGAGAACAATATTGGAGGTGCCTTAGAAGTTGGCGCCTGGGGCGAACCACAGAAGGCATGCCAGGAACATTGGACAACATTGGAGGGTATCCGCATGGGATGAGCGGGTTGGCCACAGGGGCATTTTTAACCTCACTTGACCTGGGGATCAACTCAGGGAACCAGGGATTGCACTTGGCGGATCCCTACCAGTAGACCAGGTATCCCACATTTTCAATATGCGGAGACGCAACATCTTATTCTCTTCAGCAACTGCTGATTCTGGTTGTGGAATAGCCAATACTGGGCTATCCTCAGGATCAATGATTTGTAGATGGCTTTCAGAGGTCATAGGAATCTTTCCTTTGTTGTGAAGTAAGGATGGGAAGCCAACTTACCAACAAAACCAACCACCTGAAGAGAACCTGGCTAATTTGCACATCCAAAAACCTTGTTAGTTTTGATACGCTTAACAGATAGGAAATCGCATATTGGGATGCAATGCACCTAAACAGTTAAGCGTTTCCATTATGTGTTTGAACGAGTTGCATGTTTCATCCCGGTCTTAACTAACTCTTTCAGTATGTATCCCTTTTCTTTTATTTTTGTCTCTCTTCAATCACTCTTGAGTTTTTTCATTTTGTTTCTGCTGCTCTTTTATTTTTGGCACTCTCTTTTTCTCTTTTTGTTTTTGTCACTCTTTTATTTTTGTCGCTCCTCTTTTTTTTCTTTTTCTCTTTTTTTTTGTCGCTCTTTTCTTTCTTTTTCACTCAATTTCTATTTCTCTCTTTTTATTCAAATTATTTTTCACTCAGTTAATTTTATAACTATGATCGAATCTGATGGGGATTGCCTACGTATCATGATGCCGCATAAATCAGATCTTGCGTAGTTCGGGAAGATCGAGAATGGAGTAAATAAGCTAACTCTTTTTTTTTATAAAACTCAAGACCATGAAAGCTTTAAAAAAAGGAAAAACATTTTTTTCCAATTTTTTTTGTTTTGCTCTTTTTTTTTTGGAATTTTCGAAAGAAATGCTTTAAAAGAAGAAAGGAATTTTTTTTTTCGATTTTTGATTTTTCTTTTATTTTTGAAAGAAAGACTTCTAAAAATTTCTTTTCCTTTGATTGAAACTTTGTGAATTTCAAAAGTAAAAGGAAAATATTTTTGTTTGAATTTTCATTTGTTTTTCCTTTTTCTAAAGAAGGAAAAACATATTTTTTTAGATTTTGGATGTTGCCTCTTAATTTTCGAAAGAGGGACTTTTAAGAAAATATTTTGGACTTCTGAGTTTTATTTTGTTTTTACATTTACAAAAGTACTTCTAAAGAAAAACGAAAATATTTTTAGACTTCAATTTTTTTTTTTTTTTTGAAAGAAAGACTTTTAAACAAGGAAAAGAAATTTTTTTATTCTTTTTTTTTTTGAATTTTTAGGAAAAGACTTCTTAAAAAGGTAGAAAACCCTTTTTTTTTTATTTTGATTTGACTTGTGGATTTTCGAGAGAAGGATTTTTAAGAAAACATTTTGGATTTCTGAGTTTCCCTTCTTTTTTTTTTTAATTTTCGAAAGTACTTTTAAAGAAAAGCGAAAATATTTTTGGACTTTTATTTCTCAATTTTTTATGGACATTTGTAAAAGAAAGACTTCTAAAGAAGAAAAGAATATTTTTTATGATTTGTTTTTGGATTTTTTGGGAAAAATACTTCAAAATGAAGGAAGCCCGTATTTTGGATTTTGATTTTTTATTGATATTTTTATTTCTTTTTTCCATAGACGGAAACTAATTTATTTTTTTTGAGTTTAAAAACTTCTTCTTTTTTTCTTTGTATTTTTTTTTTAAAATTTTCTAAGGAAAGATTTCTAAAGAAGGAACTAAAGGAAAATGTTTTTGGATTTTTGGAAAATTGGGGTCGGAACCGATTAGGTTTGCCTACGTATCTCACATCCGATGAGAATCAGGCCCGCGTAGTTCGGTCAGTTTTGACGGAACGGGGAAACATGGCACTTGAAGATTTTGGGCTTATTTTGAAATGACCTTGTCCTTTTCTTTTTCCCTCTTTTCTTTTTAGAATTTCGTAGAGTTTCAGAATTTTTTCAAATACTTACCTCTCACTCTTGTTTTTTATTTTCGTTTTTCTCTTTTTTTTTCTTTTTTGATTTTTTTTCTCTATTCTCGAAGCCGGTCAACATGCAAGCTGAAACAAACAGATGTGCAAGTAGTACGTAAGATGCATCAAGATAGTTTTTTTAATTCAGGTGCACCTGTCCTAGACGAACTCAACCCCTGTATTGAGTCCCCAAAGTCAGATGCACGTGATGCAAACAAACGTACCTACTAGGGATCCGGCATAAGGCTATGTTATTTTAGGTTTAAAACATGGGTGTATTTGTTCTAGACCTGGCTTACCGAGCGGACAACTCGAGCTGGGGGGGGCAGCGTACTGGGAATACAGAAGCTTTACCGGCTTTGGAACTTGTCCGAATCTCGTTCTAAAATTGGGATATGACTCTAACAGAAAAGAAGTCACACAAAGTGCACACTTCCCAGATAATTTAGAAGACTCAGAGAGAAGAAGGGTTTCGTAACAGTTTATATACAGTCCAAACAATATCAATGCGGTAAAAAGCGGCATTTAGCACATTAGGTTCAAACACATAAAAATTAGATAATAAATAAAAGCCAACTATAACAGTTATTCTAAGCTCGAATTCTGAACCCTGAACCAGAAGTTCTGGGTTCTTATCCCCAGCGGAGTCGTCAGAGCTGTCACACCTCCTTTTTTACTACCTGAGAGGGGGGGTATAAGAGAGTTTTTCCAATTAAAGTGATATAAATCGAAATGAGATTATTTTATTTAAATCAGAATCGCTACTTGGGATAATTTATTTGGTGTCCCAAGTCACCGGTTTATTTTAAAATCCCAAATTGAGGAAATCTCAACTTTATTTTAAAAGTTTGAGAACCAGAAATTCTAAGTAAGGAATTCTGTTAACCCGGGAGAAGGTGTTAGGCATTCCCGGGTTTAGTGGTTCTAGCATGGTCGCTTTAACTATTATCAATTGGCCTATTATCTGATTAATTACATGTTTTGAAACCTATTATGCATTTTATTCCTTTTACCGCTTTTAATTAATTATTTAACCATTTTTTAGGATTTATGAAATTATTTTTCTTGAACAAGTTACGATTGTCATACACTTGCATTTTGGAGCACACCGTAAACCATGCTACATGAAATGCACCCACAATTTATGATATGTTTATTTTTATTAATATTCGAAGTTGTTATGATCGGATCACATGAAATGCACACCCAAATTTGGGATTATGTACCATGACTATGCCACGGAAACCATACCCATAGTCACGATAGTTAATTATGCGCCTAAAACAAGCTACGATTTTCTTAATTGGCTAACCGTCATAAGTGACCATAACCACTTGATCTTAAAGAGTCCAATGCCATGTATTAAAGGCAATTAAAATTATTTACCCACAATGCAAATGAAAGTCAAAGGGCAGATTTATATATTCATATTTGACATGCTTAAGAGATTTACAGAAACACATTTTTACGAAGGATTCATTTGTATCAACCAATGTGAATCAAATACCAACAGAGTTCTTCTAAACTAAAAGCCATATGAGAGACCTTTCATAATCTAATGACTCTAAAGTAATAGTGAGATCAAATTGAACAATAAGTAAAATAATTCTTCAAAGGAGTTTAATTGCTAACTCATAGATCATGAATGCTAAATAAAACTTCAAGGCACAATCATAGATTTTCCTTTTATAAAGAGACTTTGGAAAACGTGGTGTCATGACCCGAATTTTCCACCCTCGGGAGTCGTGATGGTACCTAATTGTAGAAGTTGGGCAAGCCACTAAACATAGAAAATTTCTAACTCTTTCATTTTTAACCCTTTTTAACAATCTGAATTAATAGGTATCCAACATTTAGATATTAACGATAAATGAAATCAAGCGGAAGACATAATCTAATATAATAACCAAGACCAGTATGATAATGACAACACGCATCTCTACCCGGAATCTGGTGTCACGATATCACGGACAGACTAAGATTACTACAACAATTGTCTGAAAGAAATACAATCTGTCTGGAAATTTAATGAAAACAGAGTACATAATAAAGTAGAAGAGAACGTCGGGCCTGCGGACGCCTGCAGCACTACCTTGGAATCTCTGGCTGGACTAAAGGGAGGCTCCCCAAGTGCTACTGTCCAAAAATTGCTCCGGAATCTGCACATAGTGCAGAGTGTAGCATCAGCACAACCGACCCCATGTGCTAGTAAGTGCCTGACCTAATCCCGGCGAAGTAGTGATGAGGCTAGGACCAGACTCCAGATAAACCTCTGCAGTTATATAATATACAACGGAAAATAAACAGGAATAAACAATTAACATGGGAGGGGTACATGCTATGGGGGAAATATCGAATCCAGCAGAAACTTAAGAGAAACATGAGAGAACAATTCAAGATTTACAACAAAACCATAGTAACATTGTTGCGGCACGCAACCCGATCCCTATCATTTAACACTGTTGTGGCGTGCAACCCGATCTGTTTATATCACTGTTGCGGCGTGAAACTCGATCCAATATAACATTGTTGCAGCGTGCAACCTGATCCAACATAACATTGTTTCGGTGTGCAACCCGTTCCATATATAGTATTATTGCGGCATGCAGCCCAATCCAACATAACATTATTGCAGCGTGAAACCCGTTCCATATATAGTATTGTTGCAGCATGCAAGCCGATCCAACATAACATTTATATACTTTTAGCAACAACCATACCAAGAGTCCCGACAAAGGATCAACAATAAGCTATACTATCCCGACAAGGGATTCGACAGTAAAAGTAAATATGTCCCGGCAAGGGAGAAACAACTATAACCAATATTAACCCAACTTCTACTCATCTCAGCTAACACCAATACTCAATCATAAGTAATTTCCACGAAAAAAATCTTAATCCTTGCTCAATATCGAGAATCATCAATTAAAGCATCCGTAGTACTATTTAAGAACACAAAATAAATTGCAATTTAAGACTCACGATCATGCTCAAAACCAACATATAGATACTCGTCACCATGCCAATATGTCGTACTCAACAAGAAGCAAATAGCAAATAGGACACAACTCCTAATCCCCCAAGCTAAGGTTAGACCGAACACTTACCTCGAACTTCCACGACCAACTCAAACCTCAAACAATGCCTTTCCTTTCGAATTTTGACTCCAAATCAATTGTATCTAGACATAATCGACTTAATAACATCAATAAACGCTAAACAATTCAATTCCAATGCTTAATTATATCTTTCCCATCATTCTTCCCAAAAAGTCAAAAATTGACCCCGGACTCACTTGGTCAAAATACGAGGTTCGGACCAAAACCCGATCACCCATTCACCCATGAGACCAAATATATAATTAGTTCCAAAATTCGACCCCAAAACGAGGTCTAAATAACAATTATACAAAAAGCCCAAACTCTACCCAAATCTCTAATTTTCTACCCTTAAGAACTTGATCCTAGAAATCTAATGAGTGTTAATGGAAATTGAAGAAAATGAGTCTAAGATTACATACCTATGAATTGGTGGTGAAATCCTCTTTCAAAAATCGCCCAATTTGGAGTTTGGAAGAAGTTATGAAATTTTGATTAAACCCCAATTTGGCTTCTGTTTTAAAATCACTGGATAGGCCTTGAATCGCATTCGCGATAGGCCTGTCGCGTTCGCAAAGAGTTGGGCCTAAGTGACCTTCGCATCACTATTGTGAAGAGGATTACCTGTTTGAGCAAGAATAAATACTAGAGTAAAGAGGATTACCTGTTCGAGCAAGAATTTTTCTAATAATGACTGAAAAAATCAACATTTACAAGATTGGCTCCAAAAATCCGAAAGAGAAAACAACAACCAACCGTGAATCACACCTCGAGCGGTAGCCAACAAACAACTCGAAACGACCTCATTTCCAACAAACAACTTCATACAAACTCCATTTCAATGATTCTCAGCTTCTTTTCGAAGTCAAATGCAAGAAAAAATATTTTTTGTGCTTTTTCTTTGGATCTGAATAACAAACTAAAGCAAAATTGGAAAAATCTTTTTATTATTTCTTGTATCTTGAAGAAGAAAAATAGAACAATAATCAAAATCTCTTATGTTTTGGCATTTCGCCTTAGAATTCCAAAAGGTGGAAAAGAAGATTTAGTGTTCACGACGATGAAATCAGAGGATGGCCAATTTTTCTTAGGAAAATGAAGGGTCTAATTAAAAATGGTAATTGTGGCTCTCCAATGAAGGAGTTGATGGTCTTCGTTTTTCCTCGGTCTAAAAATCTGATGAAGTTTTTTGATTTTTTGGGTTGAAGATGATAGTGAAGAAGGAATATGGGGCTGGTTGTAGATCCGCCGTTTTCCTAGGTCTAAAAAATGGGGACCTCTAACTGATAATGTGTGTTCGGTTCTAGGTCTAGGTATTTTTTGTGAGGGGAAAACGGGTCGGGCAGGTGGGTCAGGTAGGTGGGTTTGGGGCAAATTTAACTTGTTTTGGGTCTCTTGAGCCTTGGTCCAATTCAAAAATAAGACAACTTTTTTTTTCTCTTTTGTTCTTCTTTCTTTCTTTGATTTAAAAAATCTAGTTGAATTAATTAAACAAGCCAAATAAAATCCTAAATTAGGCTCTACCTTAAATTATTTTGTAAAGTTAATTTTACTTATCTTTAGTAATTTAACAATAACTAATTTAAAACTAAAAGCTAAAATGTGAACATGACTATTGTAGTAATTTTTTGTGATTTTTGTTTAATGAATGAAATTAAATTCCTAAATGCAAATTAAACCTAAGATGGAATGATATTAAAACATGATAATTTTTATGATTTTTCTAAGATTTAAAAATGCATGAAATGCAACTAAATAAAGAAAAAACTTCTAAAAATCAATTAAAATTACTTTTGGTCTATTTTTAGGAGTTATTTTCATGTATATTAGGTGCTCACAGGCCTGTATTCAAACGCACAAAGGTACCTATTACTAGGGAGAAGCGGACCCAAGATTATGTGCATGAGGGCTCCTTATCATTCAACGACGAAGAAGCAGAAGGCATTTCTCAACCACACAATGGCGCTTTGGTAATTTCTATATTATTAAATAAATTTCAAGTTAAGTGTGTTTTAGTGGATCCAGGTAGTTCGGCGAATATCATCCAATCAAGGGTCGTGGAGCAACTCGACCTACAAGATCAAACTGTACCCATAGCTCAGGTCTTAAATGGCTTCAACATGGCCAGTGAAACAACTAAAGGTGAGATTACTTTGCCAGTGAACATGTCCGGAACCATTCAGGATACCAAGTTCTACGTGATCGAGGGCGACATGAGGTACAATGCCCTACTCGGGAAGCCTTAGACCCACAACATAAGGGCAGTTCCTTCAACTCTTCACCAAATGATGAAATTCCTGACGTTGGATGGCATGAAAATAGTGTACAAGGAGTAGCATGCGGCAAAGGAAATGTTTATAGTTGATGAGGTAGTACCCGTATCGACGTAATCGGCCTCGGAGAAGTCGATCATCAAGGTTAAACAATCCAAATAGCAATCACAACCACCTGCCTCGACCGAATCGGGAGAGAAAGAGATAGAAGAATAGGAGGATTTTCTAACTCCTCGAACCTTTATTGTTCCCGAAGACTCCGACGCTACCAAATCAATTGTCGAGGAGCTGGAACAGGTTATATTTATCGAGTATCTGGCCGAGAAAAAGGTATGCCTGGGAACGGGGTTAACCCTCGAACTCAGGAAAAAGCTTATTCAATTTCTTATAAATAACATGGATTGTTTTGCTTGGTCCCATTTAGACATGATAAGGATCCCACCGGAGATAACAACGGATCGTCTAAGCCTTGACCCCAGGTACAAACCAATAAAACAAAAGAGAAGGCCCGAGTCCGAGGTAAACATGCATTCATAAAGGACGAGGTAACTAAAATTCTCAAAATAGGGTCCATTCGGGAGGTAAAATACCCCGAATGGTTAGCCAATGTAGTCGTATTCCCTAAAAAAGGGAACAAACTTAGAATGTGCATAGATTATAAGTATTTGAACAAGGCATGCCCTAAAGACTCTTTTCCACTTCCTAACATCAATCGCATGATCAATGCCACGACTGTCCACGAGATCCTTACATTTCTTGATGCCTATTCCGGGTACAATCAAATTCAGATGAACCCGGAAGACCAGGAGAAGACCTCATTTATCACCAAATAGGGAACGTATTGTTACAATGTAATGCCCTTCGGGCTAAAAAATGCAGGAACTACTTATCAACGCCTAGTAAATAAGATGTTCGAAGAACAAATAGGTAAGTAAATGGAAGTTTATGTTGATGACATGCTAGTTAAGTCCCTGCACGCAGAGGACCATTTGGCTCATTTGCAGGAAACATTCGAGATTTTGAGGAAATACAACATGAAACTCAACCCCGAGAAATGTGCTTTTGGGGTAGGCTCGGGCAAGTTCCTAGGCTTCATGGTGTCAAATCGGGGGATCGAGATCAACCCCGATAAAAGCAAGGTCATCAAGTACATCACCGTCGTGGACAGCGTAAAGGTCGTACAGAGTCTAACTGGGCAGATATATGCTTTAGGCCGATATATCTCGAGGTCATCGGATCGAAGCCATAGATTTTTCTCTTTACTCAAGAAGAAGAATGATTTCACTTGGATCCCAGAATGCCAACAAGCATTAGAGGAATTAAAATAATATCTATCGAGCCCACCATTTATTCACACCCCGAAGGGAGATGAGAAACTTTACTTATACTTGGCGGTGTCGGAAATTGCGGTAAGTGGTGTCCTAGTTCGAGAAAAACAATGTACACAATTTCCCATTTACTATGTAAGTCAAACCTTAGCGGACAGAGAAACTAGATATCCACACTTCGAGAAATTAGCACTTGCACTAATAAGAGCTTCTAGGAAATTGAAACCATACTTTCAATGTCATCCAATATGTGTGTTAACCACTTACCCACTTCGTAATATTTTGCACATACTCGAACTTTTAAGTCGATTGGCCAAATGGGCCATCGAACTCAGTGAGTACGATATCGAGTATCAACCCCGAACGACCATCAAGTCTCAAATTTTAGTAGACTTCGTTGTCGATTTCACGCCAACCCTCGTACCCGAAGTGAAAAAGGAACTGTTGTTAAAGTCGGGTACATCATTAGGGGTATGGACCCATTTCACAAACAGTGCTTCTAATGTGAAGGGGTCTGGGCTAGGTATTGTTTTGAAGCCACCCACAGGTAGCACTATCAGACAATCTATCAAAACTTCTAGGTGGACTAACAATGAGGCCAAGTACGAGGCCATGATTGCAGGTCTCGAACTAGCTAAAAGCTTGGGGGCAGAAGTCATTGAAGCCAAGTGTGACTCTTTATTAGTGGTGAACCAAGTAAACAAAAGTTTCGAAGTTCGAGAGGATAGAATGCAAAGGTATTTGAACAAGCTACAAGTAACATTGCACCGCTTCAAGGAGTGGACTCTAGATCACATACCTCGAGAACAAAACTGTGTGGCCGATGCACTTGCAAATTTGGGATCATCAGTCGAAGAAGACGATATTATCCCAGGGACTGTCATCCAATTATCGAGATCTGTGGTCGAGGAGGGTCACGTCGAGATAAGCTCTACAAGCTTGACCTAGGAGTGGGGGAATAAATATATTGAATATTTGAAGAACGAAAAGCTCCCATCGAACCCTAAAGAGTCAAGGGCCCTACGAACCAAGGCCACCTGATTCACATTGGATGAAGATGGAACGCTTTATAGGAGGACTTTCGATGGACCATTGGCGGTATGTTTAGGGCCGGGGGGACACCGATTATGTTTTGCGAGAGGTCCACAAAGGCACTTGTGGAACCACTTCGGCGCTGAATCTTTGATTCATAAAATCATTAGAGCATGGTACTACTGGGATATCATGGAAAAAGACACTAAGGATTTTGTCTAAAAATGTGATAAATGTCAAAGGTTTGCATCAATGATCCATCAACCAGGAGAGCAACTTCATGCAGTCCTATCCCTGTGGCCATTCATGAAATGGGGGATGGATATCATCGGCCGTCTGCTGACGGCCCCAGGTAAAGCTAAATTCATTTTGTTTATGACTGACTGCTTTTCTCAATGGGTGGAAGCACAGGCCTTCGAGAAAGTCAGAGTAAAAGAAGTTATAGACTTCATCTAGGAACACATCATATGTCGATTCGGGATACCTGCCGAAATCGTATGCGGCAACAGAAGGCAATTCATCAGCAACAAGGTAATGGAGTTCCTCAAAGAATATAAAATAAAAAGGATCTTATCGACTCCATATCACCCAAGCAAAAAACGGACAGGCCGAATCGACGAAAAAGACTATCATCCAAATTTTAGAGAAAAGATTGAGCGATGCTAAGGGGAAATGGAGAGAAGTTCTACCCGAAGTACTTTCGCCGTACCGAACGACCTCAAAGTCCAGCATGGGGGCAACCCCGTTCTCTTTAGTATATGGCTCCGAGGCCTTAATCCCAGTCGAGTTCGAGGAACCTAGCGCCAGATTTCGACACGCAATAGAGGAATCAAAT